GCAAGACCTACAATATCCCAGTTTAACAGTCGATATCAAGACCTACAACATCCCGGTATTAACCGTCGGCATCAAGACCTATAACATCCTGGTATTACAGTCGATATCTAGACCTACAACATCCCGGTATAACAGTCGATACCAAGACCTACAACATCCCGGTATTAACCGTTGATATCAAGACCTACAACATCCCGGTATTAACCGTTGATATCAAGACCTACAACATCCCGGTTTAACAATCGATATCAAGACCTACAACATCCTCGTATAACAGTCGATATCAAGACCAGTCGATATCAAGACCTACAACATCCTCGTATAACAGTCGATATCAAGACCTACAACATCCCGGTATTAACCTTCGATATCAAGACCTACAACATCCCAGTTGAACAGTCGATATCAAGACCTACAACATCCCGGTATAACAGTCGATATCAAGACCTACACCATTCCGGTATAACCGTCGATATCAATACCTACAACAACCCGGTATAACAGTCGATATCAAGACCTACAACATCCCGGTATAACAATCGATATCAAGACCTACAACCTCCCGGGATAACAGTCGATATCAAGACCAGTCGATATCAAGACCTACACCATTCCGGTATAACAGTCGATATCAACACCTACAACATCCCGGTTTAACAATCGATATCAAGACCTGCAACATCCCGGTATAACAGTCGAAATCAAGACCGAAAACATCCCGGTATAACAGTCGAAATCAAGACCTAAAACATCCCGGTATAACAGTCGGAATCAAGACCTACAACATCCCGGTATAACAGTCGAAATCAAGACCTAAAACATCCCGGTATAACAGTCGATATCAAGATGTAATTTGCATTTGAATTCCTAGGTTTTCAACTTGATTACCGTTTCCTTCTCCGCTACATCCCACAAGTGGCTATGATGTTGTTATTTCCCAACAAGGATGTCATTTGGAGCAAAAGTTTTATATTGATGAATGTGTTAATGTCTGCAAATAAATAAATAAAACATTCGTAAAAATACTTGAAAATTTGCAAAATACATTTAGCAAAAATGAAGATTTCAACATGCATTGTCTTCTTATTTGAATTCCATCAAAAGTTATAAGTATTCAGAATGGATACAAACATGTCGGGACACAATGTACTAATTGCTTGTTCAGTAATGCAAGGTTTTCATATGTGTATCCATATGGATGATTCATGAACCGTCTTGAACAAGGAAGTTTTGTGATAATATGACCTACAATATTAATGGATGCATTGTTGAAATGTTTTCCTATACGTCACTGAATGATACATTGTACCTTAATTGTATTTTGTATGAAGACTTCCCGTTTAATGGATAGGTTTAAAATTCGAAACAGAAACAAGGTGTTTTTTTTGTTTTTTTTATCATTTCCGTTCATCTTAGAACCCGCTATATAAACGTGCCACTGTTAAGTGAAATCATTTCAACAGCGTTCATGCAATATTAATATTGTACATTTCGCTTTACTTAATAGACATTCCTTGACCACTACGTCTGGTCAACACAGCTACATCCACTACAGGTGTGACATCCGCTGTCTCCGTAGTTGGGTATGTTTGACAACGGAACAGCAATGTTAGCGCGTACGGCTCTACTGGACCAATGGAATATCGACTTAAGGACGACTCTCATGCCAATAATCATTTTACTGCTGATATACTTACTGATCGGGACGTGTGGAAATACCATTGTGATATACATTTACAAATTCAGATTTCGGGAGTACAATGAAGACCGATACTTCATTCCAGTACTGGCAATGGTGGACTTGTTCGCGAGCGTAGTGTGCCCGACAGGAGAAATCATTTCATATTTCAACCCAGTGAAATACACAAACTGCGTCGTATGTAAGTTTTTCCAAACCATGGAACATTTTGCTAGCGGTTATTCGGCCATTTTATTGACGGTGGTGGCGATCAATCGTTACCGGGCGATTTGTCGCCCTCTTAAGCCCCGATTCACCATTAGAACGAGACGAGCGATGCTGCTTGGTACGTTTGTGTTCGTGGCATGTTTGGTGATTCCCAGTGTGGTAACTAACGGCATTAAGATGGTAGATCACACAGCATTGAATGTGACTGGGTCTCGCTGCACCACAATTACAGTTCGAGGATCCAGTACCTTTCCCTTGGCGTATAACATACTTTTAATGACTGCCTGCGTCAGTAACCTTGTGGTTCTGTGTGTGCTGTATACTCTCGTTATCAGGGCCCTCTTCCAACAAGCACGTAACAGAACCAGCCAGATGTTGGCTAGTGTAACTGTCATATCGTCCTCGTCAGCTTGTCAAAGAAATGAAAGTCGACAAAATCACCGGAATTCTATAACATCAAGTGGTCAGATGTCTTTGGACACCCTGAAACTTGCTGCCAATCGACTGACAGTGATGTTTTGTATAGTCACAAGCGTGTATGTGATCTGTTTCATACCAACTCTCATAGTAATGGTGCTGATCTCTCTCGACAACAGCTGGCTAACTAAAAGTCAGTCACAAATCGCAGGGTTACGGTTCGTGCGAAATATGTTCATGATTAATAATATTGTAAATCCTATTATATACGGAATCTTTGATAAAAAAATTCGTGACGAAATTATAAAGATCGTCAAAGGGAGGATAAAGTGTCACTTTAACCAAAACACGTGATTTCTGCCATATTATACTCGAACGTGTGGATAAAGACGGGGTCGATACTAGACACTTATAGCTGTATTATATGCGAATGCGAACGCTTACCTTGTATTTAAGTTTTGGTTTGATTTGTTAGTGATTTACGTCCTATTAACAGCTATGGTCATTTAATGACGCGCCAGGTTTTGTGGCGGAGGAAAGCCGGAGTTCCCGAGGAATAAGCACCGACCTACGGCCAGTTTACGTACCTGGTGACTGCGCCACGTAGATCTCGAACCCGTGACCCAGTGATGGAGGGCTACTGGTAGCAAAATGTCAGACGCCTTAACCACTTCGCCACCGCGGCCCCTTTGTATTTTGGAAGCCAAAGGACTTTAATTAATTGTTATTAAATGTACAGTGATAATGTATCTTTTGATAACATTATAAATTATTGATAAGTATATTGGTAAGTATATTGATAAGTATATTGGTAAGTATATTGATATATTTGAAAGAGCTGTGTAATATTAGTCTCTGTTAGCAGTATTGTAGTAACGACACGGTATCAACACCTACACAAACGGAAATCGTAACAACAACTATTGGGCTGACGTGTACACTGACAATCAGTGTGAGAGGGATTTGTACTATCGTGATAACACGTGTAACATGGTCAATATGTCAAATCGACTATTTATTTATAGTTATCGATGGGCGTAAATATATCTACTTAGACTGGCATAGGCACTCACAGTCTGTTGCCTCCTGTTTTTGACGAAATTTAACTAATGTATCCTCATTAAACAGAGGACAAGCATTTATTCTCAACAGAATAATACAAGCATGTTACTGAACAAGTGTGAATGGTATATACTGTACATTATACATTAATTGTGAGTCAATATTACTTAGTGCATTGTTCTGACGTCATTGCTTAAATACAAAAGCATGTTACTTTGTATATTACAATGATGTAGTTGAGTAAGTATAAATTTGTTAACTTATTGTTACTGAATTAAATAAACATTAATTTGTTCGTTTTTGTTGTTGTTTTTTACAATTTTTTTTGTTGTTGTTAAAAGCTGTCGATGGTTGTAAAGATAGATTGACCAATATGATCCAATTGTTAATTGAAACGCAAACTGTTCCTATCCGATAGTACAACTGTTTAGAAACTGGTAGCATGCTAGATGGATTGGGGTGATTGTAAGGTTATTATTGTACGATGATATAGTGCAATGTACATTTTAAAACTAGTACACACATATGTAACTGTGAGTGTGACTCTGTAATGACACGGTGTAATGATGATGTATTAAACTTTCTACACATTGATGTAATTAATTAAGTGTAAACGTGTTACCATGTAATACTTTCATGAAGTACATTGAAATAAACCCTAACCAACCGGGACGCATTGACAGCTGTTGTCGGGAATGAAGGGGTTGTGTCCCTTGGGATTCAAAAAAAATATTTATAAGTTTCTCGCCAAATGATAAGTTGTGGAACATCCAACAATAAAAAAGGAACGAATAAAGTTAGCTGATTCAGATTTGAGAGAATATCACACTGTGTGTTCAGGGTTTCTTGAGAACAAATTTCTCATCGCGAGTACATGGATACAATCTGTAATAGAATATCCACTATAACGAGTAAAATCCTGATGCTTAACATCCGGACCCATATTTTATGAAACCTTTCTCATGCTCAAACTCAAATTCTGCACTCAAGTCCATGATTTTTTAGGAATTTCAGAGATACTTAAAGTCGCATGCCGTTTTAACTTTGACTATTTGACTGTGTCATATGATTGAAGACGTTTTAAGTATGCTAATTTGAGCATACAAAACATGCTTGAGCATAAGAATGGTTTTATGAATACGAACCCCGGGCTTTGAATTAGAAAATCGACAGTGACGTATTAACGCCTACATCCTTATCAGGCTCTACAATAGCGAATGTACTTAACTGAGACTATTACACATGTAAAACAGTCTCTTGAACTGCGAACAAACTATGACATGTAAACTCATGATACTTATAACAGGTTCTGCGATACCATATTGCCCCTTCGTTGTCGGAGGTCTCCTCTCCTCCGCTCCTGTTTACCCGTTTTCATCATCCGCCTCGTGTCATTATCCACCGAACCCAGTGTCTGCCTAGTGTAATGAACAGTTATGCAAGTTATGGAGTGCGTGTACTTACCAGTGGCGTTTATTTCCGGTGTCCTGTCGAGAGGTACGTGTGGAGTATTGTCAACTTAACGTGATTGTGTAAATAAACCATGCGTAATCAGTGTTCGGTTGCGTTTGTGGTTTTTACATAGCTTTTGGCATAGGCTGAAAGCGCTCGTAGGACCAGAAAGTTAGTGACGTCATAAAAAAATGGGATAACCTGATTTACCCCCAGAATGGTTTGAGCTAGCAGTATATAAGCGAGGTTTCATCTCATTCTGGTGGTTGTTGGTCGCTGAATAAGTGACCAGTGGTCGTGAGGCG